TTTACATTCTCTATCAACTCAAGCTCAAATATCACTTGTATCTCCCTCTTACTGCAGTGCAAGGTCCTCCTAACCCTCTTGTTTTAATTTGTATAACATCTGCACGGTGTCCTTTAATATCGTAAAGCACCAAGCAAAAAACTGTTGGTACTATTAAAATCCTGTGTTGTTGTTAATAATAATAATTATGAAACAAATAAATCAGTATTTATATATTAGGATTCCCAGATTGTCTAAGCTCTCAGGACATACTTTCACCTGTAAGACTTGACATCTAAGCAACTCCAAGCATCCTCCAATAGAAGCTTTGAATATAAAAGACATCCTTCTTGATTGCTATCTAGATATCCATAAGCTCTGCCCCTGTTCCATATATTTCAATGGCTGGACCTGATGTCTAGCTGCTAAGGCACCAATCACAATAATATGGGGTGCAGGAGGGGGCTGACTGTGTTTGTCATGCATTCAGTATTTCAGCTGATATGAACATAGCATACACTCGTTTCCTTTAAGTGCAATACCAGCTTGAAAGAGCAGGGCCCTCGATCCCCTCATGTTTTGCATTGTATTGGTATTGTTCTGTCACATGTTCTGTCCCCCTTTATAATGTACAGCGCTGAGCGAACTATTGGCGCTTTATAAATACTGTATAATAATAATAGCAACCATCTTAAATTCACACCAGTTCATGATGGATTCCAGTGAGTTACTGCCCTTAAACTAAGACTGCAGCAAAGAAAAACAAGACTAAAAAAAAATAGCCCATTACCCAATAATCTAAAAAAAAAACAGCCTTTGCTGCAATATTTAACCTCAATTCAAAGATTTCTCCAACAGAAGTTTTTTTCTGCTGTTAGATGCCCTCAGTCTGCCATCATTCAACCCACTTCCCCTGAGCCCAAGGTTGCCCTGGACCTATTCCAGCCTGTGACTGGACAGTGAAAGGAGAAGCACAGTGATGAGCTCATCCTTCTGTCATTTCAATCTCTCCTCCTAACAGGACATGAACTGGTTGGCTTCTTGTGCTGCTTCTTCCTTTTACACGCCAAGCCTTCTGTATAGGCACTGTAGGAGACTAATATCAGGTCACATTCAGGTACATACACTGCTTTTATTTAAACAGTACACTTCATGTTTTTGTTTTCTTACAGAGCAGGGAGAGGGATAGAATCTCCAACAGTGGTCACAATAACAGAAAATAATACATTTCTTCACTGGAGAGGAGACACAGGAAACAAATCAAATATTAAAAAATTTCTAACGCTCTCCACTCTATCCAAAGTTAAAAAAAAGTCATGACCACTTAGACAGGGGTATCCAAACCTACTAGACTTAAGGTGACCCCAACTGTGGTCACAGGCAGTGGAAATGCCCCCGCAACAGTGCGCCCATGACCAGTAGGAGGAGGAATAGTATCTCATCACTGGTACTAGTGGGAGTCATAGTGCTCCATCATTGGTATCAGTGGAAAGAATAGTACCCCATTGTTAGTTTCAGTGGAAGGAATTTGTCCCCATCATTGGTGCCAATGAGAGTAAAAATACCCCACTGTTGGCAGTGGAAGGAATGATGCCTTGTTGGTGTCAATGGGAGGAATAGTGTCCAAAGGGCCAGATGAAGTCAAGCAAAGGACTGCAATTGTTGAGACCACGGATTTAGGAAGCAAAAAATTCAACACCTCTTCTGGCAGAATTCACCATACAAGGGCTCATTGACCTGTAATGAGCCTCACCTGAATGTAAATCTTGTAAAGCAACTCAGACTCTTAAAGCTTAAATTTGGGCACAGACCCCAATCCTTGCCCTCCCCCTCTTTCCAACCTAACCCCCCCTTTCTTTCCAACCTAACCCCCCCCCCCCCCTTAGAGAATTTAGGGCATCCTTTAGAAGACAACAAAATAACATACTTTTTCTTCCAAGCGTCTATGGTGAGGTGATTTCAAGGGGCCTCCTACCTTCCTCCTCTGGCAGTAGGCAGATCCTAAATTCTGCAGAGAGGAGATTACATACTGATGTGGTGCAGCTCTCTGCAGCATTTTCCTCTGTGCCGAGATGGTTGGAAGAGCCTTGACAAGCCTAGGAAGTGGATTGAATGACACTGGAATTCTGCAAGGGACAGTGCCAGATAGGAAAAAGTATAGCAGCCAGAGGTTTTCTTTTGTTATTTTTACGAAGATGTGGGGGATTTATTTAACTTTTACCTAAGAATTTAGTCCCAACTTCACATTTCTAAAAAATGTATTAAAACAGTGGCACTGTGTTTTTAATAAAAAAAATTAAAAAAATGCATTCTGTATGCAATACCCTTCACCCTGATACTGTCCCCCAAAGACTCACAGCTCTCCAACCCAGCTCCTTGACACACATTCTGAGGGAGCTTCATCATACCAGTCAGGGCTCACACTATACACAATCAATGCCCAACCCAACCATAAGGGAAAGATCAGACAAAGATCACTTTATTTCTGTAGGCACCCTGAAATTTCACTGCAGATCATTTTTTCCCAGCTCTGTTAGTTGCAAAACAATGCCTATGGTCTCTTTGAAGAGATTTTTCCCTACTTCCTGTGTTCAAGAAAAGTGTGTTTCTGTGCATGTTTCCCACACCGCAAAGGAATATGCTGCCATTTGCAGATGGGTGCGGGTGCCAATAATTCTTAATGGCACCCCAAACACACCAAGCAAACGCGCGGTACTACAGTGCCATGCTGTTTGGTGGGGTGCAATTTAAAAAGTTGTGCTTGCCATACTTTTGCGTGTTCCAGAGCACTGGGCAGCCTATTGAAATGAATGGACTGGCGGAACACACAGTAAGGCTACGTTCACACTAGCGTTGTGTGCAGGCGGCAGAGAGGCGTTTGGGAAGCGTTTTCACCGCTTCCCTAACGCCTCTGCCAATTCTGCACATTACAGCACATGGTGCTGTTCTAACGGGAGCTTTTGCGTCAGGTCGCGGCAAAACGGACGCCTCTGGTCGAGTCAGGAGGCTTTGAAGCCTCCTATTCTCGTCTATGGTGCCGCTCCGCAAACGCCTGCAGTTGCAGGGCGTTTGCCGAACGGTAATGCCACTCAAACTGCATTATAGGCGTTTGTGGGGCGGTATTAACGCTCGGCAAATGCCTAGCAACCGCCGCTAAACCGTGCATGCGGCGTTTGCCGAGCGTTAAAAAACGCTCCGCAAACGCCGGACCAACGCTTGCCAAACACTATAGGGGCGTTTGGCAAGCGTTGGTAAAACAGCCAAGTGTGAACGAGCCCTAAAGCAGGGAGAACTTCCCTATATATTCCTAGAGCAATACAAACTCAACACAGTTTCTAATCCTTCCCAAGTCTACAACAAAAATGTACAGCTGTCTGTGTTTCATTTAGGGAGATTTCCCTTCACTTCCGGTTCTAACACTCAGTAAACAGAAGGGCCAGTTCACACAAGTACATCCTTTTTGCAGTTTTGCACGTTCCCTCTCGTTTTCGACAGCCCATACACTTCAATGAGCTGCCAGACGCCTGAGAAAACACAAAAAGTAATGTATGAACAATTTTTAAAATTGCGCCACATGGTAGTGCAGTACCATGCAGTTTGGTGGCTGCAAACAGACCCATGTTTGCCAGATGCATGGGAGCGCCGGTAACAATTGATGATAACCGCACACATATACAGAGGGCAGTGTGTTCGCATGTGACATCCACACTACAAGTGGCGTATACAGGCTCTAAAAGAAAATATTCTTAATAGGGACACAAACAACCACTAAAACACAACATGGGTTTTAACACTTCTATTAAACCCAAAATAAAAAAAGGCTGAGGCAGAACAGGATATAAATTATACCAAGAGGATCCTACCCAATCATTTCCAGCTGTAGTACCCTGGAAAAACTACTCAATTTCTTGTCTCATACTTTGTAATAATTTTTAAATCCATGAAGAAGAGACACCTGATAACGTGCAATAGTTCATTTTTTCTTTTGAACTGTTAACCAAAGCATATCTTTCATAGCTTCAAGAATGGATTGAATGGATTGATTTTCCTGTAATTATGCCTTAATTTGCCCTCCCTGCCTCCTCCCATGTCAGTGACTCCAAGTCCACATCCGTCCGATAGTGGGCGTCATTAAGTTTCATTTTTCAAACTTTAACCACTTCCCACCAGATGATTTGCCCCCCTTCATGACCACGCCATTTTTTTTGCTACTCGGCGCTGCACTATTTCAACAGGTAATTGCGTGGTCCTGAAATGCTGTACCCAAACGAAATTTAAGACCTTTTTTTTCACACAAATCGAGCTTTCTTTTGGTGGTATTTGGTCATCTCTGCGGTCTTTTACTTTTTGCGCTATAAAAGACCGAAAATTTTTTTTTAAAAAAAAAACACAATATTTTTCATTTATGGTTCTAAAAAATACCCAATAAACTCAAGGTTAGTCATAAATTTAGGCCAAAATGTATTCTGCTACGTCTTTGGTAAAAAAAAAATCTCAATAAATTTATATTAATTGGTTTGTGTGAAAGTTCTAGCATCTACAAACTATGGTATATATATTGGAATTTACGTCGCTTTTACTTTCTTACTGCCCATCATATATCTTAAGGTGCTAAAATGCCAGGGCAGTATAACCCCCCCCCCCAAGAGACTTTTTTTGGAAAGTAGACACCCCAAGGATTTTTGCAGAGAGGCATGTTGAGTCTATTGAACATTTTATTTTTTGCCATACATTTTTCGAAAATACAACTTTGGTTTTTTCTTTTTTACACAAAGTTGCCTACAGGGCACTTATACCCCCTTCCTGCCCAGGCCAATTTTCAGCTGTCAGCGCTGTCACACTTTGAATGATAATTGCGCGGTCATGCAACACTGTACCCATATGAAATTTTTATACTTTTTTTGAGACAGATAGAGCTTTCTTTTGGTGGTATTTAATTACCTCTGGGTTTTTTATTTTTTGCTAAACAAACCAAAAACCACTGAAAATTTTGAAAACAAAAAGTTTTTTCTTAGTTTTTGTTATAAAATTTTGTAAATAAGTGATTTTTTTCCTTCACTGATGTGCACTAATGAGGCTGCAGTGATGGGCACTGATAGGTGGCACTGATGGGCATTGACAGGCATCACTGATGGGCACTGAAAGGCAGCACTCATATGACACTGATAGGTGGCACTGATAGGCGGCACTGTCGGGCACTGATTAGTAGCACTGATAGGTGGCACTGACTGGCACTGATAGGTAACACTGAAAGGCAGCTCAGATGGGCACTGATGTGCACTGGTAGGCACTGATATGTGGCATTGATGTGGCACTAATAGCTGGCACTGATAGACACTGACAGGTGGCACTGCTGGGGCTACACAGATCATCAGGGCACACTGATCATCAGTGTCCTGATGATCAGTGTACATGTCCCCTCTGAGTAAAGCAGATTACTGGCTCTCCTCTCAAACTGTCAGCATGACAGTTCGTGAGGAGAGAAATGCTGATAACCGGCATTTCCCTATTTACATGTGATCAGCTGTGATTGGACACAGCTGATCACATGACCAAGCCAACAACTTCGGCTCTGTTGACCGGTGATCCGCAGCGCACCACCGATCGCCGCGCGCTCCCGGAGAGCGAGAGAACCGCCTTGCGCCCGTCATTACCTTATATGGTGGGCAGGAGGTGGTTCATGATATATTGCTTATGCACGCCATGGGTATATGTGGAATAACCCCCCCCCCCCCCCAAAAAAAAAAAAAAATTTCAATCTTTTGAGAAAAATAGAATTTTAATGCACAAAAACACAATATATTGCCCAATTGTTTGATAAAATATAAAAGATGATGTTATGCCGAGTAAATAGATACCAAACATGACATGCTTTAAAATTGCAAATGCCCGTGCAATGGCAACAAAGTCCATACATTTTTATTATTGATAGGCGATGCTTTAAAAGCCTTTACAGGGCACCAATTTATATTTACACAGAAGGTGAAGTGCTAGAATAACTGCCCTTGATCTGACGTTCGCGACTATACCTCACATGCATGGTGCAACTGCTGTTTACATACCGACACAGGGTCAACACTTGCGCACACAGGGGGCAAGGGTGCTTTTTTTTTTTTTTTTTTTTTTTTTTTTTTTAGTTATTTTGATTTTTTTTTAAATTATTTTTACACTCCCTTTTTGGGGGTGATCAGGGATTTTTTTTTTTTTTTACACTTTGCTTTGCAGGAGAAATAAAGATAATTTCTCCTGCAATGCAAAGCTTTCTGTCATGAACCTAACTCATTCATGCACTGTCATGAATGAGTTATGTTTTTGACAGCTCAAGATATTAATCTGTGATTGGCTGGAGCTGGTCACGTGGTACAGGGTGCTGTAATTGGCCCCATGTATCATGTGACAGCTGTGGGCCAATCACAGGTCACTAGGAAGAAAGGTAGAGCTGTTATGAATGAGATTAATAACAGCTTTGCTTACATTGTGATCATGTGATCGCATAGCGATCACATGATCACCGAGTCCCATTCACCAGGATCTTCATTCCACAGTGCCCCCCGGGCGTGGATCGCCCCCCCTGTGTCAGTACAGCCAGAGCGACGTACGGGTACGTCGCTTGGCCTTTAGCTGCCGCCCGCCCAGCCACAGTACATTGGGGGCGGTCGGGAAGTGGTTAAAGGAAACCTTTAATCAATACAAGTTTAGAAAACTATTCCTAAACCCATGCAGCAGAAGCCCTAATGCACCTGCTCCTGACTCCCATCCCCTTGATTGGTCGTTTTAGGCTAGCCATATATTAATAGAGTTGTGTGCAAAAATGTTCATTTCTGGAACATTTGTTCAATTACCTAATGGATAAAGGGTTAAATCAAAATCGGTGTATGGCCAGCTTTAGGGCCTGAAAAACTCAAAGCAGAACCTAGACCAAAACTCGAGCTACGATTACGCCTTCTGACCCCCATTTGTTTGCAGCATTTAAGCTTTGGGGTTGGTGAACCAGGTGACTAACTTCTCAGCCACTGGATTTGGGGAGGAAAGCAGGAATTCCTTACATGCCCAATACTAAAAGTACAAAGACAAGTACAAGTTCTAATTCTGTAGGACAGAAGATATTTTAGAGAGTCTCCTGCAAAACTTGAAGGCTAGTTTTCTAAACCTGCAGTGAAGATTTCTGTATTTTGAAATAAAAGAAAACTGATATTTGAGCTATCATATTCAAGTTCAAATCCCTAACAGGGCACTACCTGCATGGAGTCTGTATGTTCTCCCTGTGCTTGTGTGGGTTTCCCCAGGGTAATGTGGTTTCCTCCCACACAAAGACATGCTGGTAGGTTATTGGAATATGGCCTTTACTGTTTACTCCCATGGTTGTAAATAAAACGGCACGCACATCAATTACCAGAGCACATATTAGAATACTATATATAAATAGAGGCAAGGACAATGGGTTTGTTATCCCCTGAGGAAGTAACGTGACTCTGTGACACAGCGTGTTGGAAGGAGCTTATGACGTCACGTCGCAAACCTGAAGTCTATGGGCCACTGTGAGCCATTCCTATACAGTTGCTTGTATCCTGATATGCACTAGTTATAGTGCATTATAAAAGTTGGGTTTTATATGTTTGGTCGATATTAAAAAAAAATAAATATATATATATATATTTTTTTTTTTTCATTTTTTTTTTTTTCACATACACACACAGAAAGCACTACATGCATTACCTTCTTTGAGCATCCCATACACTTTCATCAGGGGACTCCCGAAGATGGAGATGGATTGGAGTATACCCACATGAAGTGATGGTTATCATTCCTGGCACACCAGACATGACTTAAAGAGAAAGTGCATTTGACCTGATGATAATTGGGTCTAACTAGAAGGAGAGAGCATTGCCACATTAGTGACGGGCTTTGTACATTAAGAGTTAAAATGATGCACACGCACATTCACAGAAACAGTACAGTAATTTCAGCACAAGTGGATGGAAAATAATGGACATATACTTGAAGTAAAAGTCCCTCAAATATTAATATTAATTTGTTAAAAATAATTGATTGGATGCACAAGATTATAGGATTTGTGTTATTACGTAAGTGGGTTTTGAAAGCACTTTCTTGGTTTGAGATTTGCACTAATGTTAAAGATATGTTTTATTGTCATTTAAATTTAGTATACATTATACTGCGCAGCAATGCTGAATATATTATGTTTGTTACTCGTGGGAACAGTGTCTGCAGTGGTGTTTAAGTGATTAACCAGTTAATTTGTTTTATAAGGTTTGGGGTTTATTTTTTTTTTTTTTTTGGGGGGGGGGTTACATGCTGGTAGGTTAGTTAACTCTTGTCTCTATTGGCCCTAGCATGCGTTGTATGCAAGGTGTGGATCTTAGCTTCTAAGCTCCTTGAGGTCAGGGACTGATGTGAATGCACAGTATGTGAAAGAGCTGCATACATTATTGGAGCTATATAAATAACTGAAATAAATAAGTCTGTACGTAGAAAAGAAAAAAAAAAAAAATTTTATTAATACAAAGGTGTACAGTAAAGTGACTCCTGTGTGTACGCGCTCTCTCCCTCTCTCTGTGTATGTGTGTGTGTATATATATATATATTTATTATTATTATTTATTTCAGGTACTTATATAGCGCTGTCAATTTACGCAGCGCTTTACACACACACACATATATATATATATATATATATATATATATATATATATATATATATATTGAACATTCACATCAGTCCCTAACCCTCAAGGGGTGTACAATCTAAGGTCCCTAACTTACATTCATACATATACATATTAGGACCAATTTAGACAGGATCCAATTAACCTACCAGCATGTCTTTGGAGTGTGGGAGGAAACCCACGCAAGCACAGGGAGAACATGCAAACTCCATGCAGGAGGCGCCATGGTCGGGAATCGAACCCATGACCCATTTACTGCAAGGCAGAAGTGCTAACCACTAAGCCACTGTGCCGCCCCATATATATATATATATATATATATATATATATATATATATATATATATATATATATATATATATATATATATATATATATATATATATATATATATATTTATACATATACACACACACACAGTATACGACTTTGAAAAACAGGTCAGGAACTGATGTGAATGCAAAAAATGTGAAAGTGCTGCATAAATTGTTAGCACTATTTAAACACCCAAAATAAAGTTTATATGCAAAACACAATTTAATTAAGGCCTCTTGCACACAGTATTGATGTTTGAACATCAGCATTTCTGGATGTAATTTCAGCATTTGTTTTGTGCATATTCGTTCGTAATATTGCACACGTGCGCATTCTCGCATATAATATATTCCTAGGCAAAATCTATTAATATTTGTTCTCATATGCACATACCTGTGAGCACCGACACATTACTGACCAGGAACGCACATTTTTCTAATTTTCTTTCTGTTTACTCAAGAATGCGCAGTGCTTATGTGAATGTATGTACAGGTACATTGTAAACAATGAGCTGCATTTTAGATCAGTAAAGAAAATGCTAAACTGAGCTTTTTGAAGCTGCAGTGTGCAAGAGGCCTAATGCAAAAGTGTACAGTAGAGTGACTTCTGTGCGTCTCTCTCTCTCTCTCTCTCTGTGTATATATATATATATATATTTGAAAAATAGTAAAATAGTGCCCCCTTTAAAGGTAACGAGTTGCCGTGCTAGCGTTACTCTGGCAAGGCTGCATTTCTATGTGGTGCCATAGTACACTCACAGGTCACTGCTAACCTAGGCCTAACAGTGCAGAACACATCACAGGAACAGCACATAGCAGAAGTGCTGATTCAGAGTAAAGAAAGCCGGTTTACCAGGTGAACAGACACACATCTTTGCTTAGGCAAGAATAGAGGTCTGCCCAGAGTGGGTGACTTAGACAGACACGATTTCAACTCTGCAAAGGAATCTCCAGGCTTGCACTTCTCTGACAGCCAATTACACAAACCAAGCTTAGCAACCAGACCTCAAGATGAAAGGTTGAAAACAAATATATATCGTACAATGAGTTACAGATTCTCACACTCTGGTACACAAGGAGCAAAAGAAAAACACACACCCCAAACTCCAGTAAATCCAAAGCAGACTTTTGGGTATTAGGCTCAAACCGATGTGGATTATTATAAATCATTACTCCTGCTCGGGAATATTATGTGGCACTAGTGTCAGTTTAATTTGCTCTCCTACAGACAATAATAAACTCAGAACAAACTAGAGGAAATAAGAATGGCATAATGACTGCGACTGGAACAGTACATTGTACAACATTAGTTCTGTGCTCCATATGCTGTTAGTTGTACAGGAGTTTGAGCTCAGGCTGAATTTGTACTCTCTCCAAATCCTCATGAGTCAGAAAAATTAAAAAGCTATATCCTTCTGGATGCCAGGAAAGGCCTTACCACGATCCTTTTGTCAAAATAAAAAAAAAAAAAAAAAAGGGAGAGAGAGAGAGAAAGCCACAG